GATTGCCCCTTGGCCCCACAGGACCTCACACAGGCTGTGGTCTTCACCCCTGCCTGATAAAGGCACAAACCTGAGGGGTGAACTCTGGCCAAAAGATCTGGGTTTAGCTACTATAAATCAGTGTGGATCTGCTGAAGGCCTGCTCCATGATTTGCTTTTGCTCTTTCTTGAGGAAGGGAGGGTGCAGTCCACATGGGAAGTTAGAATATAAAATGGTGCACATTGTCTCTTGCACCAAAATAAACAAAGGTATGGACTATTATGCAAAAGATAAAAAAATAATTCTAAAACTAGAGTATGTTGTTAGGGCAACTTGCAGAACCCCCAGCATAAAGAGAACGGGTTTCTTGAGCTTTGGGCAGCTGCAGGGATGTACGAGTGCAAAATTCCTTCATTTACAAAGCACCAGCAGTGCACATATCTGGGACTAAAACTGCAGGATTAGACCAGACAGAACCAAAACCCAGCCAGACACAGGCACGAGGAGCAGCCACGAGCGTCTCCAAAACCAGAACAGAAAGTGTTCAGGCAAGCAGAGTTAATTTGGGCAGTAAGAGAAGTGCCTGAAGAGGCACTGCAGCCATTCCTCCCTTCGGCGCTTCTCTTCAATGCATCGACTCTGTTCTCAGCTACATAACCAACAGGACATAGGAAACTTTTTACAAGTACATTTTTATTTAAAATAAAAATTAATTATGGTGCCTTTTTTAAAATAGGGTACTGCACAATCTGTATATGCAACACAGTTTTTGGTACGGAACATACTTATTGAGCAATGTCCTTAAATACTAAATATATATTAATGGCTTGTTTGAGAAACATGACAACATTGATTCTGATATTCTTTTTCTCTTTAGTCATTTAACCACTGATACAGATTTCCTATAAACAATATTCGTTTTCATCTGTACATGTGGTACACAGTCAAGAAGGCAGATCTTAGAATATTTACATTCATGCATTGATTTAAACACACTATTTTGCAGTTTAAAATAATATATTTTTGTTTGTACAGGTGCAGGGAGTATTGTGAATACATATCTACCGTAGGCCTGATTCTCCGTTGCTTGGCAGCATCTATGGTCATGACCTGGTTGGAGCAGGAGGCCCACACTCGCTTCACATGCTGTGACCATATGGCATGCAAGACTGGACAATTAGGTCTCTGTATAGATATATACCAATGTATTTATATCTTATACTTAGTAGAACTCTCCTCTTTCCTTCCACATCTGTTTTTGCAGCATCTATCCAAGGTAGAAATGCTTTCCTGGGCACACCGCTGTGTCGGGTCTGAGCCAGGACCAGCGGCAGGGCTGGGGCTTCAGCTTTGCCGTCCTGGCGCTGCTGAGGACTGAGGAAACTCAACACTTTGCAGCTCGGGCCCTTAAAGTGCATTCCCTGCTTGTGTCTGCTAGTGATGATCCTTAAGAAGAAATTGTGAGTTGATGCTCTCTTTCAGACCGAACACAGCAGTTTTCTGAGTCTGTCTGGTGGTGGTCAGAGCAGAGCTGTTAACTTCTGCATAGAAACTGTCCACCTTTTCATCTGCCAGGGATCTGGCTAGTTTGTGAACGGAGCTATGCAGAATCTTTCTATGCCTGATATTTTGGTGGCTAAAAATAACCTCGAAATGCTTGTAAAGCTGTATTTTGGATTGCCAGTTCCCCAGATCCAGGGTCACATCTTAGTGAAGCCCTTATCCATCAAGCCTATTCCTTTCGCTTTGTATTCAGTTATAGTACAATAAAGGAAGCACAGAAGCCTTATAAAAAAGCTTTGCCAGTAGTCTGCAGAGTGTTAATCACAACCTTAAACCACACCAGAAAACTTCAGAAATAGTTCCCCAACGACACTGCCTTTCTGGCTGCTCCTTTCTGAAGACTTCTGCTTCTGGTATACTTTTCCAAACACTTTTCTGAAGATCACCTTAAATTTTGATGCAATGTAGTCAACTGTACCTAGACAGGCAGGACTCTACTGACAGAACTACCCCGTATAGGATTTCCTATCTCTTCCCACCATGCAGCTGCGCCAGTGCTGAGAGCAAAGGCTCTGAACAAGCAGAGTTGCAGCTCTCAGCCCATCTGCTGCTGCTCTTCTGGGGCCACCGGATTAAAAAAGGACACTGGGGAATGTTCGTTCATGAAATATTATGGTGATGATGTGCCCAAATACTTTTATTATCAGCATGTTGGATATAATGATAATGTAAATCTGCCTATGCAAATAGGATACATCTATAGCTCTGCAAATACTGCCATAGAGCTGGTAAGTATTTTTATCTTGATTATATAGATGGGTAAATTGAGGTACAGAGAGGCAAAATTACTTGCTAGTAAACAGCAGATCAGTGGCAGAACTGAAAGTAGATCCCAGTCCCTGCATGCTGCTCCTCGAAAAGTCCTGCCTCCCCGCTCTCCGTGAAGTTTTTAATGCGAACGTTCCACTGAGGAGACCTCAGGGGGCCGGTGGTGGGTTTGCTTGTGGGTTATGTCATGCACCAGGGTCTTGTCTCAGTGAAGACTTTTTACCATTGCCATCACTGAAAACCAGGCAGTGTCCAGTGACCATCTCTTTAGACACATCTAGATGGACATAATGAGCTACAAATCCCTTTTGTGATTTTGGCCTTACAGAACATGCCTTTAAAGCTGTATTAGGAAATAAATAAAATCAACCACCTTTAGGAGAAAGTGCTAATCCTGAGCCTGTGTCATGCTAAACTCATCTGCATTCATACTTTATACTCTCAGCTAAACATGCAACCAATCTCAAACTATGCCACATTTAGGCAGAAACAACTGGAGTAAAAAAAGAAAAGCAAACATAGGTAACTACACCAAAATAAATGTTATAGCTTAAAAAATATTCTAGAAATATACTTGCAATATTTTTATTATAGCATTTAGGGGCTAAGTGCTTTAGGCAATCAACATTTGGGATACTAGACTCAAAGTGTAAATTCTGTCATTTTAATCCCACTTTGGATCTGAGAACATTATCACTGTGTCTTGTGCAAGCACACAAACATGAACATCGCAGGGAATGATCATACACTTGGGCAAAGGGTTACTTATCCCTTTCACTTTTGTAATCGCATTCACTTCTCAAGAAAGTCTAACCTTTAAAAAATAATTTTTTTGTAGCTAAACTTCTACATAGTGATGACAGGCTAAAAAGCTAAATGAGTAACTCCATAAATTCCTCAACAGCAGTATATAGCAGCATTTCATTTTATCATTGAAAAGATACTTATATTTACATACACCCTATTGTTCCATAGGTAATAGAAAACTAGAGATGGGCCTGAGCTGGAACTGCTGATTTGAACATCCTGGAGCTTTTTTGGGGAAGGTCTGCAGAACATCGTCTTCCTCTACCATCGGCCCAAACTCAACATCCCAGCAACAGACCAACCGCAGGCAGGAGTGCGTTCAAAATCAAGGTCTGATTTCTGCAGTTCAGGCACATCCTTATATAAAACTGAAAGCATTGGTGTGTTGCAGTACTGAGGGACGCAACGGCTGGAGCACAGCCACATCCCGGAGCGAAACTCAGTTGGTGTCTGGGAGTTACTCACAGACACGGAGACCGAGTGGCATTGAAGCTTGACGTCCAGACAAGAAGCCAGGGTGGAAATTTGTCTTTCACTGCATCACTACTTTCAGCACAGAGGTAAATGGAGACATACACATGGAGGTGTGACACAAAGGAAAGTTTTCAGAAGGCGGGCAAAGACCAGCGTCTCAGCTAGTCTCCATTGCCTTTATCCTAAGGGTTACTTACTGAGTCTAACCTGAGATCCTACATGAAATGAACTTGCGTGGATTCAGCTTTGCTTAAAGTAGTCTGCAATCCACACCATGGAAAGTACAATACTAAGCAATTACACTGAATTTGGCACGATTGGCAGTCTCTGCCCAGGAGAGGCACAGACTGAGTTAACGTGGGCACAACCAGCTTACCAGACCCTCAAAAGCTGTCCTCCAAGCCAGACATACAGTGTCCTCCTCGATGGGTCAGTTCAGAACACTTGACACTTTCAGGAAACAAACTAATCAGTGAATGAAGAGGACTTCAAAGGGCTGCTAGTCCTTTCAATACAATCCCGCCCAAATACTCAAGCCAAGATGTGAACATCTTTCCTGCAGGGGTTTCCCTGGGGAATCAGCATGATGCAAACACAGTGAAACGTTAGAACTTCACTAAGGAAGAACTTTTTAAAGATTAAGAAATAAAGTGTGATGCAAAAAAGGAGGCTGATTATGAACTAATGATGTTCAAAGCACCTCTTAATAACATTTCTCTTTCAGTAGCAATGCTAATCGCTAAAATCTGACATTTTGATTTCTTTTGCCTGAAAAGTCTTCAGCCATGGAAATTGCATAGTCACCAGACCGCCGATGAATTTCCTGGGATAACTCACAAGTTCATGCAATTTTTTGGTTGCTCGATGGCTTAACAGAAACCTTTTTTCCCTTTTTAACAATGAAATGGTAAGAAAGATAAGAATGAAGTATAAGCATACAAAACTGCACAGGCTGGAGAAGCTCGCAGGTGACAGCTCCCACCCGTGATCCTCAGACCCACTTACAATAAGCTGCTGCCACTCTGACAGATCACCTTCTCCTTGAAAGATCCTATTTAAGCAGCTTTTTGTGGACACTCAATTGAAACTGAAAAGTGGGGGAAGAAAGGAAGAAGAAGCGGGACACATCGTGACATCGCTTTCACGAGATGCAGCATGCAATGCTTATGCCTTTGTGAGGCCTTTTCTCTGGGCAGCCCGGGTGGGCGAGTTTATCCTCCCTTGAAGAAACAGCAAGCCTGAAGAGCAGCCTGCTCTTCTCTTCTGAATCACTGATGCGTGCACTATTTCTGAAATGAAGTCCTTGGCCACAGAGCTCCTTTCGTTGCCTTATGTCACCCACCTTGCGTACTCCATGTGTGTGCTTTGAAAGTTTACCACCTCCTGCACCTCAGCGGGGTTTCAGGGATTATACGACCGCATTGTTATCAACTGTTTTGTTGTTTTGGGAGGAGGTCATTGCATATTCAGCCCGACTGGTTCCGTTCTCTTCTTTTCTCATTGGTTTCCTTGGATGATCCCAGGTTCGATGATGTATAGGCAGGGTAGAGGGGAGAAGAAAGGACAGAGATAAACATCATTGTCAATACAGATTGAAAACAACGACACGTAAGGTGCATCATAGCACTGAACTCTTCCTCTCTATTTTCCCTTTCTGAACACAGGTCAAATCAACAGTTAAATTTCGTCAAGCCTCATGATCCACCTGGAAGATGAGCGGTCTGGTCCTAAGCCCTGTTGATGGGCTGTTGGTCTCCCCATGCTAGCCTGTGTACAGATACAGGTGTGCATGTTGCACGAGACAAAGGCTGCTGGAAGGAGAGCCCTCCACCACCCCCCTCATCCCTGGAATACAGGCTTGGGCGCTGGGTCAGGCTCTGCCTTTGGGCAGTCCTGGGTTTTTTTCCTCAACATCATTCAAACTGGGATGATGACCAGTTGTGTCCACTGAGGACCCGACCTTCTCACCAGTCATCATAAAACCACCATGTTTGGTCACTAGGAGAGGAGTCATCTGACCAGTGTAGATACATAAATCTGTGGTCACCACCCCACACTACCCTAACAGTCAATGGAGAGAAACAGGTGCTTTTAAAACACAATTCAGAACAGATTAAAGAGATATCCAAAATAAGTCAGATGCTTTGTGCCCAAGGCATTCATGTTTCTCTGCACTGTCTGTGAAGGAAGGCTAGTTTACTAGCTCAGACGCAGATGTTTACATTCTAAGTGTTGGAGGTGCCTGCTGGGATCTACCAGTCCCCCAGCACCAGCCACTGAAGCATCCCCTTTTTATTTTGTTTGGTGGCCACTGGCACCAGTTGGTAACACAGGCCAGGACCACCAATGTTAACTGTGAGGCAGTTCAGGAAGTGCCCAGCAAGTGCAGAAATCTCACAAACACCTGCACATCACAGAGCAAAATCATCTCACTTGGGATTTTAAAGTGACTCTGAAAAGGGAGACCTGAGCATAAGTCCTGTAACAGAACATGTTACATCATGTGTTCCCCCCACAACTTCTCTCCTCAAAAGTGGTGTGACCTTTATTTAAAGCTGAAGCTGTACACATAGAAGGAGGAAACACCTTTATAGTGCCTTGATTTTAAGGTGCTTCTAAGGGCAAAAAGAGGACGAGATAAACAAATGCAATAAAAGTCTCTGCTATTGTGCTTGACATCGTCTAACAAAACAAACAACAATTAATAAAAAAATAGTTAATGCCATTTAATTTCAGCAAAGTATTAGTGAAAGCTTTATGGACAATGACTGCAGGAAGATAGATTTGTTTTGCCTGTAATCTCAAAGAAAATACTTCTGTTTGTGATATCTTACGCCGCTCTTTAGCTGGTAAGAGTTAAGGCTTGTTAATATTAGCTGTGATTCCAGCTGTTAGAGAATGGAAATGGATGGGAAGGGGAGACTAAGAGCTTTGTTGAACCCTTTTTCAGCCATTAGCATGCTGTGCCTGTCTGTATCTGACACGAGCTCCTGCAGCTCTGTCTTTCATGACATTGTAAAGCACCCATCCACCCTGCCACATCCCTGACAAGAGGAATGGAGACTCTGATGGCAATATTTCTCTGATTTTTCCTGGGCACGAAAAACAACGTAGCTGTCTTTAAACTTCTCTGCTGATTTCAAAAATGCATTTTTTTTTCTTTCCTTTCCCCTCTAGTTCCAACCCTGACAATCAGCTCTATGAATGGTCAAAAAATGAAGACATTTTGGCCACTTCTACTTGCTGTTTGTCTCCTATTTACCCCTTCTTTGTTTCTTTTGGTCTCCTATGTGCTTCTGCACCTCTCCAGTTCCATTTTCTTTCCCTGTATAGCCTTCCTCTTCTTTCTTCATGTTAAAAAATGTCTTCCTCTCATTTTCATCTATATTTTCCTTTTTCCTAGAAGTGATTTCAAGACCGACTTCTTCAGTCCTCCTGAAACTTTTGCCTTTCCTCCTCCTTTTTTTAATTCGGTTTCTCTTCCTGAGAGCAGCCATTTGCTTTTTCCCTTCCCCAGGCTGGTCTCCCAGCTCAGACCTAGGAGGTTCAGAGACTCTCCTCCGATGGCAAGACCTCTCTGGAGGCACTGCTGGAGAGGTTGCCAGTGATATTACACCACCGGCACTAGCATGCATTGGAAGTGTATTTTTTCAGAGCCTGCAAACAGTGGAATGGAGATTTTATCAGGGTTCTGCTTCTGCCTTATCAACTGCTCAGGGTTAGCATTAGCAAAACAGGGCAACGACTTCCTTGGATCTCAATAAACTGGCTATTTGAGGCATTTATTTGTTTATTTATTTATTTGGCAGACACAAAAGTTCAGGTTTGGAGAATGCTCTGTTTAACTCCTTCACTCGATTTGTTTCCACATGTATGCCAGGCATGGATTTGGAGTCAAACTTGCTTCAGTTACACCATTTAAATGACTGGCTTGACAGACTTGTATACACTTGTCCCAGTGACTAAAACTGACCTATGTATTTAGAGATGCAAAGTCATTTTGGCCTGTTGTGATTTTTCAACTGCCCTTTTACATTAGGGCGCTAGCTCTTTTTGTGTCACGAGCTCTTTTTTACCTCAAATTTCATCCACTATTGAGATCCAAGCATGTAAGTTTTACACACCAAGGGCAGCCCTTTTATCCTATTCTCTGCCTGATAAGCTAGGTTATGCATGATCTTCCTACGTGTAATTCTCCAAGCCCCCTTTCAGCTGAAGTGCTGTGGCCCTGTATTTATGCATTTCCATTCCAGGGCTGCTCTTCATTGGTGAAAGTGATGTTTCAAATTAGTGAGGGAATGAGTAGGGAACTGTTTGTATCTGTGACATACTCACTTGGTGGCAGGCGAAATGGGCTTTTCGCTAACGAGTGGTTTGCATTGCTTTACAGTATGATTTGCTACACATTGTGCTTTGATGTTTAGCAAACAAATTGGTGCACTCTTCATGCCAAACATCAGCAGATGAAAGGTACATGCAACTCTGTACAGCTTAGTACACGCCTGAAATGATGCATCAGAGTCCGTAATGACCTCTCCACCATGCATGCATTAATTCGCATAAGTCCTAAAATCAAGAAAGCATCAGCCATTTAATAGTGTATTTCACACATCAAGTTTCAATTTCAGATGATGTTCTGATTGCATTATAAATCTTATCACAGAAATCCATATTGGCTCGTACCAGTTCTCTGCAGTGTCCTGTGTAAAGGTCAACGTTACGATGCACAGTCAAACATAATTTGTATGTTCTGTCTTTAGAAAACTCCTTAGAGGAGACACAGTTTTTGGTTCTTAATCATGTCTAGTCACAAAACTAATTTGGCATATTTGACAAAACCCTCCCTGCCAGCTTTGGCTACTGTTGTAAATTTGGCATAGACCTACTGTCTGTAAGGCAGTTGTGTGGTAGAGTACTACTGGAGGGTTTCGTTGTGTCTCACTTGTACATACTTAAGAAAATCTTTATTGTGACTTTTCAGACAAAATCAACAAAAGCTGAGAAGACTACTCATTTAATCAGGACTTTATTATGCCTCACTATCTATAGGCTTATTGAAGCTTTGAGGAGAATAAGATCACCCAGAAATGGGAACAGAAGTTTTGTCCAGAAGAGTAAACCGCAACGGAGTTTAAAAGACGCAACACAATCCACATGATCATACTCTTTCAAGGTGCTTTGTCTTTGAAGATATGAGAGTTAAGAATAAAACCTGATTTCATAAGACAAGCCTGAGCGTTGCAAACCAGTTTCCTACTGTCCACCTCCATGGCAACGTTTCTGTTGAGTGTTAGTGCACCACGGCCAGCACAGCCGTACCTGTGCCAACGTACAAGGTACCTGTGCCAAAAAGCGTTTCCTGTTTTCAGTTCCTCTGCGCTTTTAATAACATATAAAGAACTTGTCTCTCCTCTCAAAGCAGTTTCACCTCGAGGTGGCTCCTACCATGAACAAAGCTGCTACCAAGCTCTGTGGGTAGCCCCACTTTTGCACATCAGAGCACAGGGCTCTGCTATGGGGAAAATGCTTATGGGTATAAGCTTAGTCAGGGGAGATTCAGGTTGGATGTTAGCAAGTATTTCTTCTCTGAAAGGGTTGTCAGCCACTGGAATAGGCTGCCCAGCGAGGTGGTTGAGTCCCCATCCCTGGATGTGTTTAAGGAAAGGGTGGATGAACTACTTAGGGATATGGTTTAATGGGGGATTAGGGACGGTTGGACTGGATGATCTCTAAGGTCTTTTCCAACCTAGAAAATCTATGAAATCTATGAAAGGTAAGCAGCTGGCGAGTTGCTCCACTGGCGAGCATCGCCCCTCCTGCTGCAGCAGTGGCAGGGGGCGTGGGGGGCCCCCCTGCCGATCCCCGGGGCAAGGCGGCAGAAGGAAAGAGGCAAATCAGAGAGCTGAAGATGTATCGCTTATATGTGCAACGACTTCAAAGCTCTTCTCCATACCGATGAATATTTCATTAGCTATCAACACATAAAAATTAATGATTTTCAATAAAACTGGGTCTCGTACGACGCACCCATTTGCTTCATAGGATTGGTCTATCCTGATGTGCCCCTGTGCACAGCAGAAATATCAAAGCTACCTATATACCAGTAGAGATCCAACAGCAGCAGCATTTTCCTGGGTTACAAAAGTTGTCCAAGAAACAGAGTAAACACCTGGTAGGTCTATTTTCCCTCAGCTTCATCTCCTGGGCTAGGATGCCGGCAGCACTTGTGGCAGCTATGTTTAGAACTCTTGGCTAGACTTCGCTGCTGGAAGCCCAGACAAGATGATGTGTGGGCTACAGTCACACTTCAAAAACATCCTTATTTAGCAGATACAGGATAGGAATGGAAGAATAAGTTTTGTAATGTTATTCAATTACTGGACCATCTCTCCCAGTAGCCTGAATGTTTGTAACATCATAAAGAACACGAATGGAGGCTGCTTACATCTCAGTACTGGGGGCATTCATCAAACAGCCATTAGATTCATGTTGGCCATCAGAGGTGAAT